TCCATTCGCGGTGGCTTTAATGCAAATACTACACACCGGATAAATCATCAAAATTCCGTTCGCGATGATACACACATAATTCGTGTATAGGTATATTTGTTTTCGTAGTAATTGCAAACATCGTCCCATATCATACAACGATAGTGTAGGTGATTGCTTCCTGTTTGGATTACGTCCAATTCCACGTGCGATTTATACACAACTGTCCGGTGATTTACATAACGAAATAATGAATAAATATTACATCGTGTTCATGTGGCTTAATATAATTTTCAATTACAACTTCATTACTACGTCACGAGGCGTTTATAAGAAAAAAGATAGATATAGAAGGATCAAAACGTATTTAATATAATTTTCATTTCATACCGATTAAGGTCGTATTAACGTGTGATTATCGTTACACACTTATGCTATAAATTAATACATAGGTACTACAAGTACCTATAGTATTATATGTTTTTGGTTGACTTTCACAACTCTACACATACCTATGTTAATTGTACGTATCGTAATAAAAAAAAAACCAAACCAAATGAAAACATTATGAGGATGTCATACCCGCATGTGTATCTCCATCTTACATACATATTATACAATATACCAAATTTTCATTCAGAAAAATCCATTTTATGTTGTTAACTTTAATATTAGAGTAAATTTACCAATTATCAAACTTAAAAGTAAAAAATGTATTTAGTCCATCTTATAGGCTTTTAATGATGTTTTAATTTTAAACTGAATTATAGCTATGTAAAATGTTAAAACTTTAAAATACTCATAACTCACTTTAAATTTTAATATTATACCTAACCTATGTAATGGGCTAAATACAATTCTTACCTTTGAGTTTAATAATAGGTAAATTTACTATAATATTAAAACTAACGAAAATTTGTCATGTTGTATATATGTAAGACGGAGATATACTCGTACATGCGAGTGTGGCATTCCATCCTCTTAAATTAATATTCTGATTTTATTTTAATAAATCTTTTACATTGACCTTTGTTTTTATCAAGAGATCAATGGCAAGGACAGAAATAATCCAAACGATACCATGTTCGTTGGTTCCACTCGAAGTGTCACATCATCGAGTAAAGTTGCACTGTTGTGTTCATGGCCAATAACCGAAATTAACGGTCGTGTTAATTTATAGACATAACCTTAAAGGCCTCAAGATTTATGATAATTACAAAACAATATACAGCTCCAATTCTAATAATTCACCTAGAAAATAACTATTTATCTATTAATATAAAAAAGGTTGTATAGTTATCACAGCTTGTTCTTTCAAAATTATTATATATGTATCAAATTAACACTTATGAGTTTTGTATTATTAAATATGTAATCTATTATTATAATATATTATCACATATATTATTATATATGTATCAAATTAACACTTATGAGTTATGTATTATTAAATATGTATTCTATTTTTTAAATTAAAAATTAAATGAAAACATCCAATAAAATACTATATTTATCTTTTTTCAATGTAATTAAAAATATTATTTAATATCTTATCGTAGAATTCATATTATATTTTATGTAATTATAGTTATTAAATATTTATTTATTATACTTTTCATAAACAAGAAATAGATTATTTTTTGTACTACATAATGTAAAATATTTAAATTTAATAAAAAAAATTGTATTTTTAATCGCTAATTAACGTATATTTTCAACAATATAGTATAATTATGCATTTATAGGTAGATACATAAACCAAAATAAATAACTTAAAAAAAATTAATTTATCTTGTATTAGTAAAAGAAAACGAAAATTTCTTTTTAAAACAATCATGGAATACAAATATAATTATAATATAACGTGTGTATAAATAAATTATCGTACATATTATTTTGTATTAAATATACTATAATATAATATGTGTAAAATAATGTTTTGAAAAAACACAGATTTGCTTTATTTTTATTTTTTTATTGTTTGGAGAAAATCTATGGTTAATCTAGTAGATTTTATTGTACATTAATGGTCATAGTTAATAACTGTTATTTACGAAACACCAAGGTCGCAGAACAAATTTAAAGGTCCCAAAAAGTTACTCAATGTAAGCTGCTAATTCAAAAAGAAAAAAAATGTTTTTGTATCCATTTATTTATACAGCTAAGCTATAGATTTTCGTTAAATACTTATTGGCTACCTTAGATTTAAAATAATACATTTATTAACAATGAGTAATGACAAGGTTACATGTAGGCCAATTGAAAACAACGGACTTGCTATTTACACTAAAAAACAAAAGAAATTAAATGCAAAGTCATTCAATGTATTTACATTGTTATTTAATTCAAATAAATCGAATTTCAAAATGTATTAACCGGTAATCTGTCAAAATATTAATTGTATACGTTAATACGGTCTAATATTTGATTAACTGAGACTAAAAATCTACAAAATATTATCTAAAATACAATGTAGTTATATAGATGTCAGTGAAAAAATCCATTGATTGCGCTGCTACAACAGTCGGTCGCGATCCGATGCTCAATCGAAAGTCGATTCGTTTATCATAGAAAATAGGTTTACACAGCCGAAAATTGTCCCTGAGGTAGTATATCGATTTTCCTGCCTACTTACACTCAAAATTCGAATGCAACAATTCGTTATTTCTGGAAAGCACGCCTTACTTAATATATCGTAGGTACGAAAATTATACGACCAACTAAGCAACCGGTTTGCCCCGTGCCAGAAAAATACTATGTTCATAATGCCTACTAGCTTATTGTATTACGATATTTACAAACATACACCTGTAAGAACTTAATCAATCATAACCACGTGAGTAGGAGACAAGTTATTATTTATTAATACCTAGGTATTATTACGCATCACATGTAATCGAATCGTGTACCATATGTCGGTACGTGGATCCCTATAAACAGTCGTTAATACATCGACTTCCGGGACATAACTCATATACTTCCTAGAATATAGATGCTCATTAAGCTAATGTGAAATTTATTTCAAAAAGTATGAGCAACAACGCCGCAAATAATACTCAGACTTCACCATTCACCAAGCGTTTGCCAAACAAAAAAAGACGCGACCTGTTATGTGAATATAAGGTGTTTGATATATTTATTTTTGTCATTATGAACGCACATCAATGTACATAGAGCTCGGAATTATAATTTGTAGCCAAGAAAACACAATATATTATAACTGTACACAAGTCTATCTAAGTATATTATAAAATCTCAATAAAACGTACGCTAAAAAATATTAACTCGTGTAACAGCTTGCATTTCACTGGAATATATTATTTTCTTGGTTACAACAATTAAATGGGATGCACGATTAGAATTAATAAATCAAAAATGCATAGTATTATAATATATTATTAATTATTATACACGTAGGTTGGAAATATTTACTTTCTAATAAATTCATAATTTTAAAAGTGAATTAAATAGCTGGGGCAATGCCTAAATATTAGATCTAAGCAAAAATATTTTATAAACAATCTTCTGAATACTTTTGAATATCCTAAAATCTTCCACAATATTTACGTAACACATCATCAATTGAATGTTAGTAGTGTTAAACTGTATTCACTACGTTAATTTATTGTAAGTATTTTGCTGAACCTAGCCATACAGTTATGATTATATATATTACTTTAAAGATACATACAAAGTTAATTTACTTATTTTTTACTTTGTTATAGCGTTAAATTTGTATAACATATTATATCCTCTACATTCTTTGAAATTTTTAATCTAGAGCAATTACCTAAATAGTAAGATCTATAAGTATAGCTAAAGGCTAAGATGCAAAAAACATTCATGTTTAAAATATTTAAATACCTAAATACATATAATATGGTTTTTATGTACTAGACATAAAAATAAATACTAAAATCGATGTTAAAACCAGAATTTATTATAGCATTTATAGCACTAACATAAATACTTTTTAAATAATATCCAAAAAAACAAGACAATACAACACTACTAACACAATATTTTATAATAAAAACCTAGTATAATTATTATAAGTAAACATATTACTATAAAAATAAAACAATATTGTCTTTTGTATTATTTTAAAACAAATGCAAAACTTGAATATTTAACTTTAATGAGTGTTTATATTGTTCTGAAATGAAATTGTAAAAACTAAAAACATTATGTCTATTATATCTAATCATTTTGTTCAATAATAAATTCGGTTTTATCTTGTGCCATTGAATTCATAATCTAATATATTATCACTTTTGGAACCACGAGATCTGCAACAGCAGACTGGAGAACAAAAGATAGTATATTTACAAGATAGTACTAAATGTCCTTATAAATATTGGCGTGCACAAACACCAATTTTTTGTCAAGCCCGTGATTACATTGCCCTAATACTATGGATAGTGTACCTTATTTTTTTAGTATATATTAACATCTAATCTACTTATAATTTTATAACTGCAGTGGTTTTTAAGATTTTAAATTCAAATAAAAATAAGTTTGTTATACTTAAGTATAATAGGTACATCATACATAATGTAAATAATAATAATAAAATACTATTATATAGTAACGAAAAATCATTAAAGTTTAATAAACTTTGTTTGATAACTAAATAAATTGATAGAAACATTATTTAAAAATTATGAAAGCTTAAACTGAAAATAAATAAATAAAGAGAAATTAATCAATTTTCAATGGCATTAAATTCATCAAATACCAAGTTAATGTTTACACTCTACACTATTATATTTTAATTCTTTATTAAGAAAATGATTTTGCATATTTTTTTTTTTTTTGCAAAAAATAATGATGGTAGAAGGAGGATTTACTGAAATGTTATATCACTACAATGTCAAATTACTACGAGCCACCACTGATATGAGATGCACAGAATATGCAATTATATGCATATTTACAATACCTCCTTGATAAAATATATTGTCGAGCACCGTGCACACGCTTATGATGATATTAATAATAATATCGTAAAATTGTCTTACCAGATTGCCGACGGTTCTGCCTGACAATCCCTGGCTGCACGTTGCGATCTTCGCCCAAGAGAAACGAGTTGGGCTCTTGTTCTTCAGACCATTTATCCACGTTGTTAGCCATTACGGGACTGATCGATTACGCACAACGATGCTCCACGATCTTCGATTCCATCGACTAGTGACGAATATAAGACTGGCTAATATCAACAAGAATAAAAACGAATAATGATAATAGTATATAGTATAGAATGAAAGATATAATTTCAATGGATAATAATAATAATATTATGAAGAGTTCCCCGAGATGGTATTATAAAACGACCGCGTGTATCTGCACCAGCAACGAAACTTCACGATACGATTGTAGGAAATCAACACCGTCGATTATCTCGACAGGGTCGGCGGTAAACAGAAACCGACCGGAATGGTCGCGGATGATATGCGATCGATAATAATATTAATAATAGTTGTGGGTGGAAAAAACTCGCACACGATTGTGATATTATAATTTATATCGTTATTATTGCTATCGTGATAATAATAATTTAATTTACCTACAGATTACAATATATTTATGATATTAGCGTGGCGGCACGCAAAACTGACGGCGGTCGCGATCGTCAGCAGTTGATGACGCCGAGGGTATAGGAGTGACGGTCGACTGTACACACACGTACATTATTACACCTATGCGCCATGCGTACATAATCATACACAAGTATAAACATAACAAGTAATGTATATTATGTAACTTAGGTATACCGTGTCCGTGTGTGCAGGTATTATTTATGCGTGCGAGAAAATTTAGTTCAAGGAACGTACTCCGCGTGTGCTCGCAGGAAATCAAGGACTCGGAGTTGTAAATAATAAACCGACAATAACGAAAAACCGATGTTATATTATTTTATAATAATATTTTATTGTGTGCATATCGTTATTCGGTATTGTTATTGTAAACACGCTCCACGGTGCGTATAAGTGTTGGTGCGCTTGTGCAGCGTGTGTCGTTTAATACACCCACCTGAGCGCGCACACCGGCCGTGTAATACGAGGGTTTCAGGGTTTGTGACAATATAATTTTATATAAATAGTATTTATTTTTTTTAAATAAAAACAACAATATCCATTTAAATTCACAAAAACTTTTTGTTTCAAAGCCCAATGTAAAGTAAAATTTGTCGATGATAAATAAAATAAATCACTGGGTACGTCAAACCTAAGTCCAAAAAATGTTCTCTGTAATTTTTTTAGTAAACGATCTTAAACCTAAGGATAATATTCTTTTTTTTCATAAAGAAGCTGTTACTTTAATGTTTATAATACTTAGATTATATACATATTTGAAATTTATTAAGCGAAAACTTTATATTTATTAGTCCTGTTGGTTATTCGATTTAAAATCTCAATTTCTCTTTTTATTTACATCGAGCAACAGAAATATATCATTTTTAGAAAGAACTTATTATTAGAATGAGTCAAATAACTACCCTTAAACCAAACTAAAAAAAGTATGAATGGAATTTTTATATCTCCACTGTCATCCCCTGAAAATATGCACGTTCAATACAATATTATTAATATTACTAATATTATATTTTATATAATATTAGTACGAAACGCGATATCGCATATTTATAAAATATCTAAAGGTATATTACATTTAATTATAATAACAATAGGTACAATAAAATCGACGAGAGAGGAAATTGGATGATGTTTAATATTAAACATTATAAGTTTGTTTATCGGATCATTATATTTTTTCAATTTTAAATATAATATATAAATAGGGTATATCGATATTTTTAACAGGAATGGTTGCTTCAATTTTTATTTTCATATTCTTTAACTGTTTAATTTGTTTTCATTTTTTAGTACCTACCGGTTTTGATTTCTGTATTGATATCATTTTTAATAATAAATAACTTTTCAAAAGTGATTTTGAAACCGGTCTCAAGCTCCGGGCTTTCACTAATTTTTAATAGCGTTATATTTGTTTATAGTACGAAATTCGAGGCATTTATATACGTTAGCCCGGGAGTAATCCTTGGCTGAGACGCACATGTTCGAAAAACGAGATTTAACCATAAAAAGTTCTAATGCAGTACATATCGAATATTTTTATACATAATATATTAGTTAATAGATAAGTATTCACTCGTCGCTCCACTTAAATTTTTAAAATTCTTATATAACATAATATTATAATACTTTACGAAATACATTTCGAGTGGTTACAAATCTTAAGTAGAATAGTTTTATGTTAGATGTAATTCTTCATCAAAATTAGCAATCAAATTTCTACGAAGATCGTGAATAAAACTAAATATATTAGTCAAGTATCTAAAATATCGGTTATGAATGTCTATTGAACTCGGAGTCACCTTTCTTCACTGTAACTTATAAATTGCGTCAGTATGGTACGGGAGACTTATCAACTATCGTGAACTAACTTTATATTTTAGACAATATAGCATAATTAATCAAAAGTTAAATCGACAAAACATTAAAACCAAGTAGGCAAGCATGAATGTTTGCAAACCAAACCACACTAAGTCGTACTTTAATATTTTTAACCCAACATGTATTTTTAACGCACATTTTTGAAATATATATTTCTTAATTTTTTTTTTTTTTTTTTCGTAAGCCCATCAAAAAGAGGTAGGTGCATATTGTATAACAAACAAAGAAAATGCGTACATTCCTAATTTTATCGATAGTTTTGGAAGGAATAATTAATATTAATTCGATTGCTTATTGTGATTCTAATGAAATATTGTTATTGTTGATCCATGATAATCGAGCATTTTTTTTAAAAACTCCATGACGGAAGAGAAAAAAATATTTTTCATGATTAATTATGACCTCGAATGTTAAAGTTCAAACCATTCAACTATTATAGGTAACTATAAAAAAAATTGATACATTTAAAATAAGCTCTAATAATTTCATGTTCAAAATATATTTTTACATAATTTAAATTTTTTAAAGTCTGATATAAGTAAACATGTTTTGATTTACAGTTATTTTGTAAAATGTCAGAACATAAATTATAAAACATTGCATACTATTTAATTATTTTTGTAACACCGCGAATACTTTTTTGGTTAAAATGATACAATTTATCATTTTTAGATTTTATTGAATTTAATAGGTGAGTGTTGTTTTCAAATCGCTAGTGTAAGTATATATTATTCGATAGTTTATATAACTGCTTGTATACAAACACAAAACTAAATACATATGGCACACAACACTTTAATATAATTTTTTTTTAACTATTCAATAATGTACAACTACTTCACTAGTTTATCAAGAATTTCTTACTGAAAAATAATAAATTAATGACTAAAATATTTATTAGATACATGCTTTTTAATTCAAACTAATAAAATTGTAAAATTATGCTCGAAAGTTTATAATTTTAAACAGTTTTAAATATTTTTTATACTTAAATACATAACGTTTCGATACTAGAAAAAAAATTTTTTTTAAGAGTTTACAATTAATAGGTATCTATATAATATGATGTATTTTATTTTATTTTTAATAAAATCATTAAATTCGAAATACATTCTTTTAGAAATATTAATAGGTACCTATGCATTAAAAAGACTATAAATTATTAAAAAAAAAAGGAGTTTTATCTGATTAATTGTTATTGCTCATCGATTTTATAAAGTTGTAAAATTAATTATGTAAGGGTTTGTGTTGCCACGATAAAGGAGTTATTCATATAAACATGAAGTTAAAATTTGCTTTCCTGTTGAAATTATATCAAATATCAGGTTGAATAGAAGCATCAAATATGATTATCCCGAGATGTCTAAATAGTTAACACTGCGCAGGTAAGTAAATTAGTTTTCCAATCGGATTTATCGATTTGATCGACTAACGCTAACTTAATATCGTGATATTTATGTATACACTATTACACTCTCATCATCTTTGACTCCCCGTACATAACTCTTTTTTTTTAATGAACGTTTCAGAAAAATAATTTCTTATTATAGAATTACAATAAATTATTACAATTTATAGGCAGTCCATTTACAAAATTATTTAGGATTTTAATTACTCAGTTGGACTAATAGTATTTAAGTTTATAGTTAAATGAGTTTTAATGCTTAGGCAGACGACGAACGAGTACCAACCAACACATACGAAGACAAATACGATAGAACAAACTACTGTATATTTTATTGGAAAAAAAACATAAAATTAACTAAAAGCTCTATAATAAACAAAACACTAAAAAACCACATCCACCATTGATCATCACCAATCCGCTATACCGCATCATAGGTCTGCAAGATTGGTAAATAAATCCTGCATGTCTACCCGTTAAACTGTTCTCTAAGCGATATTCGTCATTGGTCAAAATCTAACTTTCGAAATCTCTGCACGCCCAACAAACCTGCATCGATGGGTCACTCGGAGTACGTTTTTATAAGGGATGGGTATGACAGGACCCTATAGTCAAACAAATCATTTTTCCTCTATTTTTAAACGGTGCCATCGAACTGCCCGTGCCCCGAGCTGTTTCGATCACTCGTATCGAGTGTATGTGCGTTGACACGGATCCATCCAGAGACGAACCAAAACCGCGTGTGCCCCCGCACGTCACCCTTAACAGACATGCACAATACAAGATATGTGTATTCGATTCGACACCCCGTGCAACGCGATGGGACCCGCAAGAAACGAAAAAACGTCGACAAATACAATAACCTACCTAATATGATATCATGATATTAAAATAACCGCATTTCAATAATATAATACGTATACCCGTACGACATTATGAGACGATCAACTACTGATATCAACACGAGTGTCGCGGGACTGCAGCCGACTTACCGCGGACGACGGGTGCAATGCGACCGGAATACCGTCGGCGCGCACCACAGTAACCGCGGTTAGATACGACGTCCGCGTTGTGGACGCGAACGGTCAATCCAAAGACGCGCCAGCGAACGGACCGAGCGTTTTTACCCTGCGTACACGGCCGGCGTGATGATGACACTGCAATATTATTGTATACCGGAAAATATCGCGACTACGAATAATACAAATTACAATATCCATTACTGTAGTCGTCTTCGTCGTCGTAGTCGTAGTCGTCGTCGCCGCCGCGTGACGGTGGTGCGCAACGTCGTTGACACGGCCAAAAGTGCACTATATTATTTCGTGGTTAGTATATTATTATTATTGTTGTTGTGCTCGTTAAACGATATCGTTGCTGTACCACCCTTACAGCGGTGGCGGTCGCGCGACACGTGCAAAACGGAATGGCGACGGACGCGAGCAAACACACGATAACAATATTATACCTGGGCGAGCGCGCGTGCTGCACGTAACGCGACAGAAACCAGACTTCAACGAATACGCGTGTAGACTTGCCGCCACACCGGTTTTTGTGGTGGCGGCAGCGGTTGCGGGTCATCGAGGAGAAAAATAAACGTATACATAATAATATTTAAACGCGCGCGCGCACAGACGTATAATAATATTATATCGTGTGTGTGTGTGTGTGTGTGTGTGTGTGTGTGTGTATCGTGTATGTGAATAAGAACAAAATAATATGTAAGTAATAATAATATTATAAATAATAAATACGTAAAACGCGTGGAGCGCGACCACTGCAGAACTTCCACCACCAAATCGAATCATCCGTCTCATATCATAATAATAATACGTATAATACACCGATATATTATGCGTAACGCGAGTCGTCACTAATAACGTTATATCATATTGTTGTTGTATATTATACGCGTTCGGTTAGTGAGCACAACACAGATACTTGAGATACTATATTTTTATGGAGGTACCTACCACCTATCTGCGACCGATCGCGGTCGAAACGCAGGTCGTCGTCGTCGTCCGAGCGAAAAATGCGCGCCCGCGACTCGCAGGTATTTCGACCGGTTTACGCGGATACGCAACGATTGGGATTTGAGATGATGTTTCTCGCGCGTTTTCGTAGAATTTTTTTTCTCCGCTAGTTACACTACATCGGAATTTAATATTATGTTGTATTTTCATCTCGTGTATAATAACAATATTATCCTATACATCCACGGCATGGATGTATTATAATGTAAATGACCAGCGAATCGTATTACCGCGGCGGCGAGCGCACACGATGTTGTTGTTTTCTGAGTTATTGCGTAGGAGGATACCTACGTCGTCTTGTCCCCTAGGTGTTCCGTGGCGATATACATATATGTATATAATATTAATGTCGACTGTCGAGTAATGTAATATATGATATACTATTATTATAATATTATACCGAGCCGACGGCAACGGAAATGAAAACATGCAGTTGTACGCTGCCTATGTATAATTTTAAGTGTTTTCAGCACTTTCGTTACCAGTGACCAATAATACGGTCAGGCACGGATCCAGTAGAGACCCCCCTTCCCCGTAAGCTGTGTTTTATTCAGGAAAAAATACTTAGTAAAAAAAATCACAACAAATTTTAAGTTATTTGTGTAGTATTTACCCCATCACAAGCATTGCTTAAAGGGGTAAATTATTTCTATTACATTGTAAATTATAATTTCTAATTTGTAATGTATTTTGAGTATTAATAAAAAAAAAAATTTTTTTCATTTTATTTAGCTTAAGTAAAATAAAACTCCCTTTGCATTAAAGCCTTACAACTTATAAATGATGTTGAATTATTTAAAAAAAAAATATTCTACCCAGCTTAACAGATATATATTTTATATAGTCTAAAATAACAGTACCCAGATTAGTAGAATATACATCAATAATTTATAATTTGACAAGACGTCATTCTAATAAACTTATAATTAAGTATAAAATATTAGCATCTCACCACCCCTATATACATATAATCTCTAGTTGCGCCAATGAGAATAAACCATGTCTTTTATACTATGTTATATAATTATATAAACTATAGATAGTGCAAAACGTTACGATAAAATTATTTTACCCACATCGACTACATCATATAGAACAATTATGTTATTAATTCAATATTCGAAATAATATATTATGATAAAGTAATGAATTACGCGCGTGAAAAATAAATGAGTTGCCAACCCATATATTACAGCTTTTTATACACCCAGGCAAATTGCTATACAATTTTAGTTCGAGCAAATGCTTAAAATATTTACACTCAAATAATCTAAAATTTAAAATAAAAATAAAATTATAATTATTTATTTCAATTCTAGCATAAACTCGAATAGCGTATAGACATTAACTTACTACAGATTTATAAGAAAACATTTAAACTTCAATTATACGCTCAAAAATAAACATTACGTTATACACACATAATTCAAGTCAAAAAAGTAATAAATAATGCAATGCTAACTTACAAATTATGGATTACGTTTTAACTATTTAGACACAATCGGCTTGAATTTAATATACCTATGTAGTATGTACCTACTACCTTCTTTTAAAAATTAAAAACTATATATGCTATAGTCTATAAACTATTAAAGCTATACATTTATACATAATCATACATTATAATATAATATATTGACTATATTGTATAACATGCACAATGATGCATGCCTATAGCTTTCTAACAACATAAACAGATAAATGCATAATAATCGATAATTCTATATTTTAATACAAAAATATACAATGTAAATATTTTTAAAGTAATAAACTAAAATATTGAAATAATTTGTAACGAATATTTACGCTAACATTACCTTAGTAGCAAACATTTTCGATTGTTTGATTTTCTAATAATTTTTGATAAAATTAATTTTAAAAAATATATAGACTAGAAATAAAAGTTTACAATTTACCTAATTACTAAATAGTACTTATACATTTGTATTATAATTATTAATATTGATAAATAAATAAAACCGTTTAATTTTAATATCGAAGAATACACTTTTGTGTCTTTTACACCTTAACAAATCCAATGGAACTAAAATTTTAAGCTTGATAATTTTTATTTCACATATCCTTGTTAATGTAGCAAATAGCAATACAAATTCAAACGCAATATTTCAACGTACAAAACATTAAGGTAATTGGCATTCAGAAAATTGTTTACCTGAATTCAATAATAAATACTTTTAACTGGTTTAATGTATGATGCAATATAAGATATTGTTAAAAAAAAATTTGTTAAAATAACCTTCCAGATGTCAGTAGTTATTTTCAAATTCACAATTATTGAAATATTCAATACAGATAAGTGCCAATTATGTTAAGTGTATAAACATAATTGTTTTTTAAATTTTAAAACTGTAATTTTTAATAAACAAATATGTTTCCAAGTTTTATTACGTCATTGAAAATATAATATGCACATGGAATATTATAAATTTATAAATATATACAATAAACTCACTCAATAACTATATCATTATTCATTTTTATGCAAAATACATATAGATAAGCATCAATGAGATGCTAGTGCGTATACTGTGTTTCTCTTCTTCTTAAAAAATATATATATATATATATATATCCAAAGATAACAAAATATTTCTACATTTATTTAGACTTCTACTATAAAAAATGTTTAAAACATATTGCAAATATATTATATTCTAGTATTTATAATTTTAAGTAGCCATCAATGTAGAAAATAAACTGAGACAACAAAAATACTACGAAATATAATAAAATATTGTTAAAAATTGTGTAAGTGGAATATAGAATAAAAACATAATATTTGACATAAAAAATAAATGAAAAACTATTTACTAGTTACCTTTGATAAACTGAAATAATACAATAATTATAAGTCGATTATAAAAAAATGAAAAACTATCTTTCCATAGCTCGTACACACGAATATGAATAACGGAAAGTGTTATTGAATATAAAAATGTGTCTCATCTGAATTAAATATTTTTCATATTAAACATATCTGCGGTCAAACATAAACATCTATAATACACTTATACTCGAACAAATAGTTACTCCATATTTTTTTTGGGACGTATATTTTTGTGTGTGTATTGTTTAGCCAGACGAACCTATCATATTCGTTACGAATAACAAAAAACTATCGCCGAGCTGTGTCTATCTTCTATATAAACATATGACGTATTAAATTTATGTCGGATAGCTAATTTGTAGCAAATAGTTATAGAGACGTCTGGTAGTCTAGTCCAAAATAATATGTGTATGTAAGTATAGAATGATATACCGATGTCTAAAAGTAAATTTATGTTTACAACTGATGATATTTCAAATTTAAACTGAACCCATTAGTCAAAATTTTAATAATATAATTTTTCTACTAACAAGGTTAAAAATATTTTGTCACGGGAACAATTTTAATTTTTAACTATGAGAAACGTTTTCTATCTTATTCTTCGAAAATTCATAAGAAACAGTATTAATATGATTTAACTCCTGCTGCTCGCCATACAGTTGTATACTCATTGTACTAATTATATTATTCAAGGATGTGCAGCTACCTTGTGTTTGATTTAAACGTAAAATATGTTCATAAAAAATATGCGACATTGGCTCAGTATTTTGTGCTACTTATAGACCAAGTGGAATGTTATTTTCTTAATGGATTTTACATAGGTCCCTGAATTATGTTTTGTTATAAATCACATTAAATCATCGAGTTAAGTGAATTTCAAATATTTACTAAATAAATATTAAAAACGCATTCCTTGCTTCATCACCAAACAATTACAAATATTTTGTTTTTGAGCTGGCCAAGTCAATATTTAACAATAATGTAAATTAAAATTAAACGATATTTAATAAGCTATGACTATTATTAATAGAAGTTCATAACGCAAATATTTATAAGACCTAACCTAACTTTTGCCTATATAGGTACCCACTTCGACCAAAGCTATTTTAGTCGTTTTAAAATTAAGTTGACACTGGTTTTCCAATTATTTAATGTATGTATGATGAATTTTTATTAAAATTTTTGTAAAAAGTCATCACAAAAAACAAATTATTATTTTTTTAAATTTCTACACATTTTTTATACAAACTCATACCGAATGATTTTACCAGATCTATATTTAAAAAAAGGTTTTTCGTTGTATTCTGGTCTTTCCTTCGTTTTTTGTCTTGATTTTTCAAAAATGTCAACGTTTTTATTCTTATAAACGTTTGTCTGATTGTCATTGTGTATAATATTCAACCAATTTATAATAAATGGAGAATTAGAATAAAAGTTTTTATTGAAAATACAAGTAAAACGATTCAAACGCATTTGTTATTAATAAATTAATGTTCACTGGATTGTATGCTTATAATGTTGGACTAAAAACACAATCCTCAGAAATATAGTTGTCTACTAAATAATCAAAATATTTAATTTATTTTTCGTCAGTTGAACATTCAGCTATAAAATTGTATATGAATCAATCGGATA